AAACATCCCCACATCTGATACATACTATTGTCTGATTAACTAATATTAATCAACTATAATGTTCCTACAAAGTTAGTATAAAAGTTGTGATGTTTTTGTAATATTTTAGTGTCCTATGAGGATTGCTGCCTGAAGTATGTGAAGAATCTCACCAACAACGTTCAAAAGCACGCAGTGAGCTACAGACGCCAGAAGACAGATGGCGGCTGCAACATCCCTGCCGTAATGTCAGTTTCACAAACACAAAACGGTTATTTTGAGTCAGGTGTGATCGCCTGAGCCAGAACCTCACCCGAACTCTTCACCTTCCTTTAGCTTCATCATGAAGAGGGGACGCAAGTTTTGCACAGACCCCAACGAGAAATGGGTCAAGGAGCTTGTGCTGAAGATTGATGAGAAGAATGAGAAAAAGGGGAATGTAGGAAATACTCCTCTTCTTGAAATCTGCAAAGAGGTAACTAGTAAAAAAACATTTCTAAAAGTTCGGATTTTTCTGTCTTTGCAGCATTTCAGGCATCCGAGAAGAGGCTGAAGAGGACGGCTCCCCACAGCGACGCCACCCTCAATCTTCCTGCTGTTTGCAGTTTTATTACCGAGCAAAGAGTGGCTTTTACGGCGATTTTATGGGGTCTGACTGGAGGACAAAGTCAGAGGGCTGGCCAAGAAAATGTTGCAGCTCTGCTTTTGCTTTCGCTCAGCATTAACATAGCAGGTCAAAAGCTACTCTAGAGTTGCAGCTGCACTTTGCTGTTAACAAATGGACTTTTCAAGCTGATAGGTGACCACAGAATATATTCTCAGACCACACATGTCAATGCATGGCTGCTTCAGCAACCATTTTCATTCCATCAAACATAAAATATACTGCTTGATAATAGAACTAGTAATGGAGAGTAAATTATAAGTGTTCATACAATATTTAATACATCTGCAGTGTCTACACATTTCATTTAAGTAATTATATGACTGGAACTGTAATTGCTTTTTTAAAGTTTGTGCCATAGAAAATGAGAAGCTTTATCATACTTTAATTTTGATTTTTTTTTTAAGTGTCTTTCATTTCATGCCTTTGTGTACAGGTTTTATAGCAAATTATGTGTTCTAATAAAAAAAAATGAGTTATAACAGCTCACTTGGTGGTGTTTATGTGTCAAAAATGATTAAAGATGCTCACACATAGACCAGTGTGTTTTGGTGCAAATTTTGCAAATAAACCATAGTTTATGAAGAGGAAACTGTATACTGCAATTGTGAAGTACGAAGGAGGCAGTATTATGTAGAGTGGGTTTTTTCCTGCAAGAATGGCTGGAAAGTTAAACCTAAACATTATGCAGAAATATCAAAGCAATATCTCAAGACATGAACTAGGAAGTTAAAGCTTGGACCAAATAGATGATGAGTAACCCAGCAAATTGGTTTCTAAGTGCTGCCTATAAATTTGACCCAGTTCCACCAGTTCTGTCAGGAGGAGTCGGCCAAAACTCCAGAAAACTGCTGTGAGTTATTTTGGTAACCTTTTTGACCCAATTCATAAAATAATTTCTACCAAATACTAAAGAAACATGCATTTACTTTGAAGAAAGTTTATAAAATAATCATGTTCATTGTTTTGGCATTTAACAAAATGTGTTAAAATGTCAGACAATGAGATAGTGTGTGCAAATATTTAAGAGTGACATTTAAGCTGAATATGATCAAATAATTGAATGTTTCTTAAACTGTTTGATTCATTATCTTGAAAACTTTTCATTTCTTGATATGAATGTTTGATTTTAAATCAACTTTACAGAACACAAGATGCTTCAAGTCAATATGTTAATATGTAACTAGTCGAGTCTTGAGTGTTTTGAAATACAATAATGTGGGGAATTACAGTAATAAAATAATACAATAAAGCACTTAAGTTTGAGTTTAGATCACATATTTACTCTATTACTGCAACAGGCTGCAGCAGAGCTTTTGTTCATTGTGTATTCAGCATCTCCAGTACGTTGCATAAGGACTCATATAACCTTGAACCTTTATAACTACAAACCTCGTTATATTTTATTTGAGTTTTATATGATAGAACAACACAAGTTATAATGTAAAAACTTTTTACTGGAAAAAATAAGAGACCATTATCTGGAACCCCACTGAAAACCTCCTGGTTATTCTGCCAAATGTTAATTTCTGAACTCTTCCTGAGTCAAAACATTAATATTGTTGTTTCTAAATTAACATGAACTTGTTTTGTTTGTGTTATTTGATGTCTGAAATCACTGCAGCGTTTTTGTAATTTGACCATTTCTCATTTTCTGATAATAAATATAAATATTTTGCTTGTCCTTTCAGAGACATGTTGTCAGTAGTTTAAAGAATGAAAGAACAAAGTTCATTTTACTCAAACATAAAACCTATAAAACCACAATAAGTTCTGTTTAGAGGTTGTCACAAGCCAGATGTCTCAGCTATCATTTGGAAGAAGCAGTTCTGGCCATCTGGGATCAGGTTTTCTTATATTAGCTGACATATAAAACATATGACAGACCTGTGAACCATGGTGGTGGTAGAATCATGCTGTGGGAATGTTTTTCTTCAGCAGGGTCAGAGGAAGTTGGATGGAGACAAATAAAGGTCAGTTAGAGGTGAAACAAAACATGAGCTGCATACAGCCAGAGCCACAGTGGGATGTTTTAATTCAATAGAGTTCAGACTTTTTGCAATTAAAAGCAGTTGTGGTCACCAAAATTTTTTTTCTTTTTATTATGAAAAATGCAAAACATAATTTTTGTAGAAAGAAACTAAATACACAATGTTTCTACACAAAATCTAATCTGTAAATCATTTTAGATGTATTCTGCGAAAGGAAAATGATTTGATTCTCACTTCTTATTGTTTTATTTAATTAAAAAAATCTGATTTAGACAAGCTTAACAAATACTGGATGTCTGTGGTGATAAATACTCTACAATTAAAATTAAATGTAAAAATGTGTCTATTATAAATTAACGGTTTATGTTTTAGGAGTATTTTAATTTGTCTGTAATCTGATTTGTTCTTTCAAATTGAATTTAAAAATCCACATTTTTAGAGTCACTTTTGAACCATAATAAGTGAAACATTGATCAACATTTTGACGTTATTACACTTGACAAAATCTAATGTTTACTGGTTTTCTCAGTTGTTGACTGTGGTGTATCTTCTGCAATTTTGTTTTTTAATGATGTAAAGCAATTTGAACTGCCTTGTTGCTGAAATTTGCTGCGCAAATAAACAGAGAAAATTTCACTTTGGCTTGTTTTAATTGTGTCACCATCAACAGTCTGGTGAAATAAATCCGTGCTATTCTTGACTTGTGGAGAAGGGATGCAAATGCCTCCTCTATGTTGGGACACAGCTGGTTTAGATCAGAGCATATTCAAGAGTGCCATTCGGAAAAGAATTAGAAAATCATTTTTAGGCTGGTGATAAAGCGTAAAATTGATCCTCTTATCTTCACTGCTTTCATTTTGAAAGGACTTTGACCACATTTATGCAGGTTTGGTTGGAATTTGGGTCAAAATTTCCCTTTCCACTTGCAGCTCAAGCAAGAAAGCTTGCACAGGACTTGTGTATCAGCGCATGATTAGAAGTACTATCTGATAAGCTGTGGAGCTTGAATTACTAACCTTTTATTTGTATCTTGCTCCCTCATCTCCATGGGCACTGCTGGGGCTTGCCGCAGATAAGATCTTACCATGCCTAACGCAGTGTGTGTTTGACTTTGCTGCCATCAGAGATTGATGACTTCCACACAGGTGCCTTGCAGAGGCTTCATCTTGCACAGAGCAAGATGAAGCACAGATAGTGAGTGTCTCAATAGAAAAATTATTAGCCCACACAGGCCCACTTTAAAAATGTGATGTATGTTGATTAAAGAATGAGTAGGAACACCTTTAAGCTTGTCATCGTCTCTGCTTAAAACACCGGTGAGACAAAAATTACTGTTAAGGCAGTTTTAATGTAGTGCGACTGAGATTTAAAAGCCAGGAGGCCTCACAGACTTCAAGTATCTGTTTGAAAATGGTGCCAACTTAGCTCACAGGCAGAAGGAGTGATGAATAGCCTGACAAATGCAAGATAATTACCAAAACAGTTATTGCATATCGAATATTGGTGGACATCCAATGCTTCTTTGAAAGTGACTAATAGGAGAACCACCCTCATAGGTCAAAAACAGTGTTGCAACTTGAAAGGGATTTTGGCGCTTTCGCTTCTTCTTGTCTATACCTTAATAATGCTCAGAGGAGAGCAACATTTTTTTAAAAAAATGCAAGCTGGGGCAAAGCCTGCAGGTTCTTTTGTGAAGGATGAAAAAAAACATGAAAGAAAAGTCAGAAAACCAAGACAGGAAAGAAAAGTTTACACTAAAACAATGTCATAAAATCTGAGCTGTTATGGCATATGCTGGAAAGGTGTGAAAATTATAGTTATAAATTATTAAAGCAGGCTTGGAAAACAGAAATAATGACCTCATCTGACACACTGTGACTTATTTATTAATGCAAGTTGGATGTCAGACACTAATAACAGTGCCATGGCTGTAAATTTTGGCTCCCATAAAAATTTCAACGAATAAAATGAAAGGTGAAATGAAAGGTGTGAAGCGTTTCAGAAAGCAAACGTTTCCTTTGAATTACATTTTCCACCAGCATCAACATGTCGCAACAAATACTTTATGTTATATGAGACCGAACTGAAGACAACAAATCTAATTTACTGTCATTATATAAGAAAATTCTGTTCCTTCTTCAGTAATAGCAGGGTGAGTTGTTCTGTTCAAAGCAAAAGAAAAAAGTAATATTTAATTGCTTTTAAAAAGATCTTTAGTGTGCTTAATATCCTCATAAGTAATATTTACTGCTTGTAACATGTACAAATAAAGCAAGGTTGTATATTTAAGAATAACTTTGTGAAATATTTGACCTTCTTTGGGTAACAAGAGTGTGATGAAAAGAGTTGAGCTGCACTACAACTGGATAATAATTTATTTCATTAAAAAACAACAACAAATTAATGATACTTGCACTTTTATTGACACAATTTGTAGTTGGTGTTTTACATTTTCATAGTATTTTCTGTCTGTATTGACTTTATGGCCAATTCTTCGGTCAAAGTGTGAATGTTGAACAAGTTAGGACTGGATTATACAAGTTACTTGTCAGCTAAAAGGCTAAAGTTCTCCAAAGTGATTAAACTTATGTATCATAACTAATGTTATTGACACAATCCATAGACTTTAGCATTATTTTACAGCATAAATGTACATTTTTTATTTTAAAATAGTGGCCTGATAAGAATTATGGAGTTTTGTCTCTAACCAAATAAACACGGTCAGTAATTCTCTAAAGCAGAATTTAAGGAAAATAAAAAAATAAAAAGAAACAGGATTTTAAAAAAAATTTATACAGTTGCATAAAACCATACAGAGTAAAAACATGTATGTTCCCCCTGACAGTATTTGAAGAAGGAGCAATTTTTGTTATTTGCTGTAAACTACAAACAATTGAGTTTGACATCAAAATATTACTATGAGACAAGAGATCAATTTCCAGGCTTCTCATCTTCTGCTTTTTTGTCTTCCTTAAACCTTCCAGATCACTAAACTGATTATCATTTCTAATAAAGACACTTTACAAAATACTGTTTTTTTAAAGGAATATTTTAAATATTAAGAATAAAAACGGTCCAGATAATTTCTCCCAACCATTGTTAAATCATTGTTTTTTTGTGATATTTTTTCAGTTTCTATAACAGTATGTCCATGAAGAATCACTTAAAGCAGAAGAAACTAATATGTTTCTTACCTATTTTGTTAAAAACATTACTATGTTGTGACAGCTCTGTGGCGGTTCCTCACAACACATCTGGCTATGAAAGCTAAGGCTAGTTAGCATAGCTTTTTTTCTGGGAACATAAGTTGTTTTCTTGCTATTAGCACATTTAGCAGCGCGTTCACTAGGTAGATTGGCAGCGCTAAGACCTTCCTCCTGGCTCTGATTGGTAGTTTTTTTAGGTCAGGAGAGATGTATTTCTTCAGAAGGCAGCAGTAGCTCAGAGAGAAGGTGGAGAAGCTGCATCCTTTCACAGATTGTCTGTCTCATCTCATACTGTAACAAAATGGCGACAGTTTTAACAATTATGTGAAAAAACATATTTTCATAAAAGTGTCAGACCGTTGCTTTAATTGGAATCTAACAATCTGTAATAGGCTAAAAGATGCCCAAAATTAAAAGAATGGATAAAAAAAACAGCCAATGATTTTCACCAGTAAGAAAATGGTTACAAAGCAATTTCTTTGACCTAGGAACATACACAGAACCACACTGAGAACCTTTGTCCATAAAGAAACCATATGGAAAATCCTATGATTCTTCCCAGTGGTGGCTGACCTCCAGGAGAGAATCAAGGATTCACACAGGAGAACACATGAGAACCCCAACATCACATCTGAAGCTCTACATCCTCACTTAAGGTCAATCAATCAAATCCAGGACATTGCTGCTCAGTTTCTCACTAGAACCAGGAAGATAGAAACCATAACACCAGTTTTAAAGTCCCTCCACTGGCTCCCTGTAGCTCAAAGAATAGACTTTAAAATATTGCTGCTAGTTTACAAATCACTGAGCGGTTTAGCAACACAATACATCAAAGATCTGCTGTTGTTGTATCAACCTTCCAGAACCATCAGGTCTTCTGGTTCTGGTCTGCTCTGCATCCCCAGAACCAGAACCAAGAGAGGAGAAGCAGCTTTCAGCTTCTATGCACCACAAATCTGGAACAAACTTCCAGAAAACTGTAAAACAGCTGAAACACTGACATCCTTTAAATCTCAACTAAAAACACACCTGTTTAGAATTGTATTTGAAACGTAATCAATTAAAAATTGAATGATGTAACAATGTATTGTTTATTCTATGTTGCATGACTTTGTGTTTTTGTGTTTATGATGTAAAGCACTTTGAAATGCCTTGCTGCTGAAATGTGCCATACACATAAAATTTGATTGATTGATTGATTAAGGTTGGGTTTAATGAATCATTCTTAAACATAATATTCAGGAGACCAGAGCTGTAAAAACACCCCCAAAACAGCATTCCTAGTAGAGCAAAACTCACTGGCCCAGTCAAAGCCTGGACTTAAATCCAACTGACATGCTGTAACATGTCAGTTAAACAGGCCACTTATATGTAAAAAAAATGAAACTTTTCTGCAAATAAAAATGTTGATAATCTGTTGGATAGACAGGTTTTTGTCAAATTCAAATGTTTGCTGTCAACATTTGAATACATTTTCTTTACCATTCCAATGCTTTTGGAGGAGGGAGCATTTTCTTAAACTGAATTCTTAGATTTGCTAAAGGTCTCCGAATTTGACTCATGCATCCCCGAACAGGGTGATGCAGGCATGAGAAATGCACGGCTGGTTGCATTCACTAATCTACAAATAAAAAACCTCCTGACTTGCTTTTTTATTTCTAAATTCCTGTAGTCATACAGAAGGAGGAATCTGAAGAGGGTCACTGACAACCTTCAACAAATTTCCTTCACGCTCAGCTGATTTAAGTGCAGCTCCAGTTGCAACAACTCTGGATGTTATTTTAGTGGACAAGAAGGAGGCCAAGTATCTTCATGGAGCATGCTACTGTGTACATTCTCAGAAACCTTCATAATACATGAAATCATGCTCTGTCCCTTCAGAAACCTCATGCTATTGCCAAAATACTTGCACTTAAATCAAAGTGGGTGGACATAAACAAAAACAAAATGATCAAGTTATAGTGAGTGTGTCTAAGAACGTTTTTCACAATCGCAGAAAATATGCAAGTTGGGGCCCATGCCGTAAAGCTCAGAGTGGAAGCACATTTTAAAAAGTTAAGGATGGGGCTACATGATGGCGCAGACCACAGAGTGGCGCTTGTACAGATGGCCCTCTGACCCGGCTTTCCTCCTCAGTCTGTTCAGGGACTCACTCGTGTGTGTCCGACTGTAACCCGCAGCGTCTATCGATCTTCGCTTCTGGATCTGATGAAGCGCGATCCGATAGGTCCCGGTGACAGGGCTTCTCAAGTCGAGACTGCTGTTGAGCAGATGAACCGCGCTGATGCCAAGATCCTCCAGCGCCACTTTCACGCTCAGATCATCTGAGGTGAAGACGTGGTTCTGGTCGACCAGGTGTGACGGAGTAGGCCTGGAGGGCGGGTAGGCCTGAGGGTATTCGATGCCCGTCATCCAGTCACTCATCATGATCTGCGCCAAGGTGAGGCGGTCTACGGGAACTGGCCTCAGGAGGCCCTTTATGATCTCCTGACAGGACTGGGGAACATATGAGGGAATGGCATAAGAACCCTGCAGGATGCAAATCTTCAGCCGGGTCGTGGTGGCTGCTTTAAAGGGCATTGTGGCGGTCACCATGAAGTAAAGCAAAATACCCAGAGCCCAAGTATCTGCATAGTGTCCAATGTAGCCTTTCTCTTTGAAAATCTCAGGTGCTGCATAAGGTGGAGAGCCACAGAATGTGTGGAGTATATCACTGGAGCAGCAACACGTGCTAAAACCAAAATCCCCCACTTTAATGCAGTAGGTGTGGGTGTAGAAGACGTTCTCGGCCTTCAGGTCCCTGTGGACAATGTTATTATCATGCTGGAAAAGGAGAAGACAAACACATGTTATTGAAGCAATCAGAGCTGATAAGAAAAGTTAAAAAGTTGAGATCTTTTTTTCAAAGCTGCAGTACGTGACTTTTATTTACAAATATAAATCTTTAAATTTGTCGGGACAGTATGATATGAGACAGTTAATCTGTGGAAAAAATCAATCTCTTCCACCTCCTCACTATTCTGCTATTGTTGTCAGAAGAAATGCACCAGTCCCGCTCAAAAACAGCCAATCAGAGTCAGGAGGAGGGCCTTAGAGCTGTCAATCAAACTCATGTACACGCTGCTAAATGTGCTAATGGTGTAGAAACACCTTATCGTTACTGCCGACAATGGTGGCTATGGTAATTAGCCTTACCATTCACAACAAGCTCTGCCGGCTGCAAGATGTTATATAGTAGCGGGATTGACAGTGCTAAGACACACCTCCTGGCTCTGATTGGTTGTTTCTGGGTTTTTTTCACAGATTATCTGTCTCATACTATACTGTCACAACATAGTGACAGTTTCAACAAATATATTACATAAATATCATTTGTCTGTTTTAAATATATTCAAAAAATATATTTATGTACTGCAGCTTTAACCCCCCACACAGCGAAGTTGCTGCTTCCATCTAAAGTCTCGTTCCCACTGAGCAGTGTAGAACATGTTGGTGTGGTTCGTTATGCTATTTCTCTGTTTCCCTTGTATGGTTTATATGTTTTCCTGCTTTAACTCACATAAATTCAATTGAAGGCTGATTAACAATTGCAGTTTAACCATTGCAGTTTTGCACACCTATGTTGGGTGTGCAAAACTGCAAAAATCAAATCAGTCCATTATGGGCTGCTGCAGGAGGATCAAACACTAATTTGACAAAACTCCAGGTGGGGGACATAAACAGATTTGGCCCTCACTGAATAGTGGGGTATAGTATAGATGCAATACAATATATACAACTATATATCTTTGAAAAGCAGAAGTGGAGCCTCCTGCACAACCAACAAGATTTCAGTAAGTGGTTTCTGATTGGTAAGGCAATTACAGTTGACTCTTCCAGCAGTCATTATGCATTGGATATAACGGTAAAACCAGCTTAACAAACATTCTGGAGCTTCGTTTGGGTTGCTAGGCGATGGGCTGGGTTTTTGCTGGGGTTGCTAGGTAACAACAAACTGTGACTCAACAATTGGGAGGTTTTTGAAACAGCTCATTTTCCAGACACCAAAAAACCCCAAAAAACATTAACTTATTGTTTAAGCACTTGGATTGTTTATAGAAGCTGTTAATTTCCAAAATTGAAGGGCAAAATGTGAATTTTGCATAATTTTTTAGGCAAAAATTCTTCTGTATCATCATGTCAGTTCCTGGACCCGTCAGTGTTTGACCCGGTTTGACGTTTTCCTCTGAAGCTTTTTGCTTTCGTTTTCCCGGTAAACCCAACGCCCACTCGGTTCCCTGAAAACTTCCTCTGGCTCTTTAACTCACCATGTGCTTGACTGCAGAGAGAACCTGCGAAAACACCAGCTTGCTTTCAAGGTCCGAAAGGCGTCCCCTGCTGGTGATCCTGGAGAACAGCTCCCCTCCGCTGGCATACTCCATCACCAGGTAAAGCCGCTTGAAGGTTTCCACCACCTCGTACAGGCGCACTATGTTGGGGTGGGAAAGCCTCTCCATGCAAGCGATCTCAGAGGCAAAGAGAGCTTGGGCGTGTTTGCTCAGACGTTCCTTATCCAGGACTTTCACTGCTACTCTCTCTATATCACACAGTGACACACAGAGAAAAGCAATCAGAAACACAATTTTCTCTTAAGCTTCATGATCTTCTCATTTAATTTTCTAATAAAATGCCGCGTTAGACCTGATTTGTCTCCTCTAGCCCTTCACAACAAAGCTTCCATGTGACTCAAAAGCAGACGAGGATGAAAACATTATGGATTAGTTAGGATGATGAGATTAGTCATGTCTTCTGACATGTAGAATGACCCAGACTGATGCAAGTATGTCTCCTTAAGCTAAGCTGGATGTCTGTGCATTCATCTGAAAACTGAAACATGCAACATCCAACATGTCACTTCAGACAGAGCGGCAAAAATTTCTCAAAAAATGAGTCACAGGAAGAGGAAATGGAAGATTAGAAATCGTCTCTGTTCAAACCGCACAGACGCCGTGTTGTACTTTGATGTAAAACATTTTTAAGTTTGTTCAGCATGAACAGTGGCGCCCCCAAAAGAGGGATGTCGGGGGCCACGAGCCCCTCTTGAAAAATGCTGGCTACCCCAGAGAATCATGTTCATGTCATATTAAGGCAAACAGAGCCATATTCTCCAGTGAAGACATAAATATAAAACTCAATGAATTAATAAATACAAAATATACAAAGAGATAAATAAATAAAGTTAGGGGATTTTTTTTCTATTTCTTTTCTTGTCTTTTTTTGTGCCCCCCTAAATGTTTTAATAGCAACCCTCATGAAAATGTTCTAGGATCTTCACTGATTATAAAATGGAAAATTCAAATAAGAGGATCATTTTACACAAAATTAAGCTCTTTTATGCTTAAATAAAAGTCTTGTTATAAGTGAAAAACACTGTGAGTTTAATTAGTATTTTTTAAATAAATCTTAAGAAATGATTTACTTAAACCAAGCTCTTATATCTTGCTGAAAAGTTACTTCTAAGTTAGTTGTGTCTTATTTAAAGTAAGATATTTGCACTGGAAACTAAACAGAAAATACAGTGTTTTTGTGGTGCACATATTGTTCTTCATAAACGTAAAAGATTCTGTACGTTGTATTAAAATCAAAGCATCCAAAATCTCACCTTTAGTCAAGTCATGTATTCCCAGTCTAACCTGCGAAAAGTTACCAGAACCGATTTCTCCCTTCAGCTCGTAAAATCCCACCCGCCGTCCAAGCGTCAGGTCGTCCATCACCCTCTCCGAATGGGTCATGTTGTACACGGCCTTCCCGAAGGCGGTCCTCTGCAGCGACTCTTCATCCTCTGTCACCTTTCTGTTTCTCTCCAATTTGCTGTTCTCCTTTGGTGACGTCAAAGTCAGGATTTCTTCTTGATGGATGCCTGACCGTAAATAAGAACCTGACATTGAGAAAGAGGAAGTGAGGTAACGGCATGAAAACCTTCTGCAATTTATATCACACTTGCTGGAGTGGGAATTAAACTGTGTGTCTGTACTTACATGCTTTCCCTTTTATGTTCTTCTTGCTCCTCTCTGTGTTGATTGCATTGTTTCTGTTCTTCAAATACATGATTTCAATCCAGATGGGTGCACACTCTTTTCCTCAATTTCAATAAATACAGTGATTTGAAGGAAAATAAAATATATTGTTTACTCAAATTGAAAGATTTAGTGGAAAAATGTGGAGCATGCATCAGGAATAAAGTCTTCTCTCCCAGAGTATACACTAGTATGCACTGGCACCTTTGCTGCTCTGTATGCAGCAGTGTTGTCTCATGGTTTATAATCCAGAACTACTACATAACGCCCTATAATCCCCTCTGGTGTTGGCCTCCTCCAATGCAGACAGACAATATGTCGCTTCTGGAGGCCTTGGAGATGAGCAAACCACCTGACCAACACTCAGTCTTTAAATACATGTGGATCTATATCTGTACAGTCATTGTATGAATGCTATGAATTATTCATCCTCCTACCTCTACAATATTTTTCCTATTTCAAAAATGAGCTATTTTAGACATGACAGCAATTAAGAACGTCCATTATTTCTAGAATACTTTTTTTAAACAATTATTCCTTATTCCTTTATTTACATTTAAGGCTGTTGCATCATAAATGTCACAGATTACGTTGCCCTGTCTTTATTAAAATAACTTCAAAATACATTCATGTTTTGTCAGTGAAGAAAATGCCAAATTTTCTAGTTATGGATTTGGTTTGATTGAAATGATCCTGAAAAAAACCCCACTGAAATTGAAATGAATAAATTACTTGGTGAGATCATTAATGTGCCAAATATAATACCCAAAAGTGAAAAATAAGAACTTTTTAAGGAATTGATTTGATTATAAAGAGGGAGATAAACTAACATTTCTTTATCATCACAAGAGAGGAGAAAATCCTCCATACTTGGGAAGCATTCAGGTCAATTTCAACCCAGCCCACATAAAATCATACCTGTCATTAAATTCAACATGTTCCAAATGACATGAAGAATTCATAAAATGTCCTGCAAGCTAACTTTAGGCTCTAGAGGACATGAGTGCAGGCCTCTCTGTGACTGACCCGGTGACCCAGACAGACACTGACTGTGACAACAGACAGATGTCGGCTCCCCATCAACCTCTGAAGCACCGAGACTGGACAGCCGGGATTATCCTGGGAAGTCGTTGCGTAAAAACTGCTTGCTCATGCCACAGGTGACTCATTATTAAGCCGTGCTCAATAAAGCTCTTTGCACGTGCAATACTGAAAGAAAGGCTCTTATGAGAAGAGGATCGCCTGGATGGAAAATACCTCCATGTATTTTGAATTTTGGATTTGAATAGAAAATGACTCCACAACTTTTTATATGTGACACACTTGCAGTGGGATGATCTCATGCTGAAAAACCCACCTTGATTTTAGAGCACAAGTGTCAAACTCGAGGCGCAGGGGCCAAATATGGCCAGCCTTAGCTCTTCATGTGGCCCTCTAGATCCCACATGACATCAATAATTCCCTCCAGTTTTTCACAAATCTACAGAATTGATGTAAAATTCACATAAAATCAACAGATCATATTTTTTCTGGTTTTACTGAAACTGTTTTTCTCAAAATTGGCCAAAAACATTGGGATAAAATGACTCAGCCTTAGTTGATGTCAAGTTATAGTCCGTGACAGGTACAGCGGTTGATAACAAGTCACATTAATGCAAATATTTAAATAAATATTTCTAAATTGGCACCGCAAAATCTGTGATTCTGATTGATAAAACAGACACACACAGAAACACTCAGAAAATTCTGGATGAGCATATCAGTGTGAAAAGATGATGAATATTATTCAGTTTGAAGAAACACAGCAACCATCACTGCCGATCTGCATGTTGAAAATTATTACCGCCATCTGCTGGTCACATACAAGTTTTAACAAAAAGAAAAACTACTCATCCAAAATAAATCTTAATATAAAAGAATAGATTTTTTTTTAATGTGAAATAAACATGGGATCAAAATGGCTGCCTCAGTGGTTTTTCAAAGAGTACTTTTTTGTCATTTGGATTTGTTTAAGTGAAGCTTGGCCACTGTAGGCTAATTTGAGAACCTAATATGTAATTTCTAAAATAATGATAATAATTAAAAAAAAAAAACAATAGTCCAGATTTGAACATACATATTTATTCAACAGCCAAAGTAATTTGGAAAATAAAAAGGACAAATAGCTCAAAATGACCTTTGAATCTGTTTAGGGTTAAGCTCTGACCCGTTTCATTTAGAAGATTGATGCTCATTCTCTGAATGCGCCAGCTTAACTCTTCACATTGTCTCAGATATATGCACATGTACAGTTTCAGTCAGAATGAGTTAGAGAAAAGGAAAGAGTTGAGATTCGTGAAAGGTTTAAGAGTGTCTGACCATTTGGCATCATGCTGAATAAACACAGAGGCGCTGGAGTTTTCTGGAGGTGAGGATCACGCTCGCCCCCCTGCTGCTCCCGTTTATGTGTTTAGACCCGGTTTTGTTTTAAGTCAGAGGTGCTAAACACCTTCCCCCTGAGATAAAAGATGATTGATGCCTTTGAGGGTGACTCTTTGAATGGCTCAGGGTCTTTTTAAGCCCCTTCATCAGTAAGAGCTCAGATCTGGTCAGCATATTTGGGTCTCTCTGCAGCAAAAAACAAAACAACAACAAACAAAAAAAGAATAGAGATCCGCCTGTGAAGTCACCCCTGCATTGTAAGGCATTCATCATGGAAATTTGATTAGCTCTCTCTTCTTAGAAGTGAACAGGACAGCACTGAGAAGCACGTTCAGATGAGTCATGGATGTTCTCCAACTTTTCCTTCTGCTCCTGTTTGTGCTTCACATGACATGTAAGTACTGGTGGCCAATCCTGTCTGATTTATCTCACAGACTGCAAACAACAAAAAAGTGCATGCTAACTTGTGAAAACGGTAAATAATTGTAAAATAATATAATCTAGAAATGGGGATTGCAGTTTTTGAGCTAACAATATTTTCTTTCAAAATACAAAGAATGAGTGCTTGCAGAGGTCTATGAGCTTTATTTTTCTGCTGCTTTAGACTAGTATCTTATGTTGCAACAACTTCAATAAATGCTATCCATCAACAAATGACAGGACGGATGCATTCCTGTCTTGTGTTTTTGCAGTGAGCAAACAGATCGTTCACAGAAACCTGTTTACACAACGACTATGCTGCAAGAGGCTGAGTCACTTTGTGTACATTGGGCAAGGTAAGGAAGCAAACATAAATATATTATTTATATTTATTTATCAATATTTGCTGTCTATTTTGATTGCGACTCTCTCTGGGTGTTTAGACATTTCAGGGAGTCCTGTCAGCGTAGATGTGGGAATGTGCAAGCCACGTTGTGGGATGGCCATGAGGTCATTGCATGAAGCAAGACAGCAAGAATACTCAAAACATTCCTCCATGTTGGAATTTCTAAGGAGCAAGAAGGTATGCTGCAGTTCCACCTCCTGCCACAAGACGGCAGTGTGAATTTCTTGTAATTTATAAGGTTTTCTTCTTCATGCCAAAATACGAGTGAGTGTTAGGGCCTCTGAGGGGATGACGAGAGTAAAGTAAAAAAATAATAAGAGAATAAAATCAGAACATTACGATTTTATCATGGTAATAATGCGAATTTAATCTCGGATTATTTATATATATATATATATGTATATATATATATATATATTATATATATATATATATATATATGGTGTTGGTAGGGATCGTTCTCAATGCTGCATTCACATTCTCAATGAAAATAACCCAAGTGGCTGATATCAGTAAATCCTACCAATGGCTGGAAAAAGCTGGACTCAAGGACAGCACAGAGGCCCTCATCCTGGCCGCCCAGGAACAGGCCCTAAACACCAGAGCAATAGAGGCCCAGATCTACCACACCAGACAAGACCCAAGGTGTAGGTTGTGCAAGGAGGCCCCTGAGACAGTCCAGCACATCACAGCAGGGTGCAAGATACTGGCAGGGAAAGCGTACATGGAGCGACATAACCAAGTGGCAGGCATAGTGTACAGAAACATCTGTGCAGAATATGGACTGGAAACCCCGAGATCAAAGTGGGAAACACCCCCAAAGGTGGTGGAGAACGCCAGAGCTAAGATCCTGTGGGACTTCCAGATCCAGACAGACAAATGGTAATGGCGAACCAACCTGACATTGTCGTAGTGGATAAACATCAGAGGAAAGCCATTGTGGTAGATGTAGCAATACCAAGTGATTGCAACATCAGGAAAAAGGAGCACGAGAAACTGGAGAAATACCAGGGCCTCAGGGAAGAACTGGAGAGGGCCTGGAAGGTGAAGACCACAGTGGTGCCTGTGGTCATCGGGGCCCTCGGGGCAGTAACCCCCAAACTGGAGCAGTGGCTACAACAGATCCCAGGAACAACATCAGACATCTCAGTCCAGAAATGTGCAGTCCTTGGCACAGCCAAGATACTGCGCAGAACCCTCAACCCTTTGTTTTGTTTAGAAATATATATATATATATATATATATATATTATATATATATATATATATATATATATATATATATATATATATGGTGTTGGTAGGGATCGTTCTCAATGCTGCATTCACATTCTCAATGAAAATAACCCAAGTGGCTGATATCAGTAAATCCTACCAATGGCTGGAAAAAGCTGGACTCAAGGACAGCACAGAGGCCCTCATCCTGGCCGCCCAGGAACAGGCCCTAACACCAGAGCAATAGAGGCCCAGATCTACCACACCAGACAAGACCCAAGGTGTAGGTTGTGCAAGGAGGCCCCTGAGACAGTCCAGCACATCACAGCAGGGTGCAAGATACTGGCAGGGAAAGCGTACATGGAGCGACATAACCAAGTGGCAGGCATAGTGTACAGAAACATCTGTGCAGAATATGGACTGGAAACCCCGAGATCAAAGTGGGAAACACCCCCAAAGGTGGTGGAGAACGCCAGAGCTAAGATCCTGTGGGACTTCCAGATCCAGACAGACAAAATGGTAATGGCGAACCAACCAGACATTGTCGTAGTGGATAAACATCAGAGGAAA